AGAATACGTTTGTAAAAATGCTGAATGAATTAAAAGAGGAGTCAAAAAATGTCGATATTCTTTAAAAGCTGCCATTCACCAATAAGCATGATTAGACAGGCGGTTGAGACGTCATGTCAAGATTAATAGTTTCTTCAAAAATCAAAGTCAAATCCTTAAATTATCAGTGGTGAATTCCGTTGAGGAGACTGGCCATTATTCGTCCGTCTTTCATTTTGCCTCTTTCAGCATCAGAACACCCTGCGTTACTGCATTAGCAATGACCAGGGCATGTGTGGTGCTAGTTAGAGTGCGGAAGTGGGAGGCTCAACCGAGGTCCCGGTTGATTGATGCGCACACAACACCGTTTGAAATCGTTTCTTGTCGCCTGTGTTTGAGGTAGCGTCATGGCATTCAACTTCATGACTCGCTCATTTCGCCTGTTCCTCATGTTCATCGTCCTCGCTGCCGAGGGCGTATTTCTGTCTGCACGTGTAATCACGACCGAGTAGACAAATAATTCCCTCCGGCTCTGTGGGATTCTGCCCGCATCTGCGGATGTCTCCAACTCTGGTGTTTTGACAGCGCGGGACATATGGTGGCATGGTCGGTCTCGCTGTGTAGAATTTTCTTTCAACGACCATCACACGACGGTTTAATAAGTGAAGAATAAATGACAAAATTCGAAAATCCGATTTTCTGGCTAGCGACTTCGAGAGCCGTACCTCTAATGGCGTTTGCCTAATTTCATTTTCTTGCGGCTTTTTGGGTTGTTGTGCAATCTTTAGTCGATGTTTGACTCTAGTAGGTGTCTATGAGTACGCTGATCGATAGCGCAAAGTCAATACGCAGGTTATTTAAATGGATCCGTTACGAATGTTGGCCGTCAGTAATGCACACGTTTGGCAGATACGACGATGCTGGCATAAATACTTTTGTGGCGAATAACTCATGTACTCTGCCTCACTCATTCACCGGTTTCGTCACTCTTCCGCCCCTCCCAGTTCCCGACTTTCCCAGCAACTGGACAGTCCGCCGAGTTTTCCGTGTGCTGAGTTTTCTAACTCCTCCCGCCTTACCGTTGCTAACTCACTCGTTCGTTCGCCGAGAGACCGTTGCGAATTAGTGCTACGGCTCGGCAACGGTCGGCGCGATCCTCGCGTGGATCATCAACACACCACGCCGAATCCTCCTCAAACGAGATGACGAAGTAGCCACCTCCTGCAGATTACGAGGTGAATGCCGTGCTGCAAGAATGGGTGGTGAACGGCGTCAAAGGAAATAATGATTATTGACGGTCGAGGCCGCGACGGGAACCGGTGTGGCCGGTGATTGCGCGTAAAACAAATAAAAGAAACGACGTTAATCCAATCGATTAATTGTGCCTCTGTACCATATCGATTACTTTAGGCATCAACAGACTAAATCTCCTCTTTGTACTGCAGCCAGAACTTACCTCGGTATTCAATGAAGTGGCCTCTGACTTCGGTGGGGCGTCACGGTCATGAGTGGCTCGTATCGTTGATGCGTTGTGCTGCGAGAGAACGTCGCGACACATAGGTAACCTCCTGTGCCGGAACAGGTTCTGTGGAAGCAGTGACACGGCAGTGGTGGAAGCGCTTGGAAACCCAGACGATGAACGTCGTCTTCCTGACCTGCACACTTTGCTTGTGCTTCTTCGTCCGCCAGGCGGTTCAATGTAAGTGCTACTGAAATTAACTGAACGAAACGTAACGGTAGAATGGATGCGGTCGTAGACGAGAGAAGGTAAAAGAACGCGTTTAGGAACAATACAAATTAGCTGGAGGGGGAGTGGGTGTAAGGCACGTCACTGAAGCACTGATTTCCGACAGACAGAACAGAACGACTCACAGACGCAGAGAAGAGGCGCATTTAAATGTTGGCTTTCATAGTTTTGAAACTAATACTTGCTTGATGCTTATTTGCTCGTTTGAGACCAAAGTACCAAACAGCCCGGCACGTGCCCCAGTCGGCCATTAAACTGGCGTAAACTCTTTGGCAAAGGCAGGTGTCGAAGAAAGTGCGTCACTGACAGCGACTGCAAGCCAAAACAGCTGTGCCAGTGCGATGCAGAATGCGGATTAAGCTGCATACGAAAGGGTATGTAAGGGCACTTATCGCAGGGTGCGATTTGTCCGACTTCAACGCTGCTGACCATCGCCAAATAAAGCATCGTATGATTTTGTTTTTCCAACGTCGTTTCCCCGGATGATCGCTCAGCGCCCGAAAGATTGTTCAGACACCCTGTACGAACTTTCCTTGGCTTTCATTTCCGTGATGCACTTCTCAAGAGTTACAGCCAACCTTGCAAACCACTCGTTTCTTTGTTCACAGAGCCGAGAATGGTGTCCCCCGAAGGTTATCACTCGTTCCTCATTGTTTTATCTGCCGTTGAGCGTCGCTCAGCCCCGTTCCGAGTATGCCTTTCAAATCGCACTCTGACCGTCTTAGCATATCTTCATACGGCTTTGTTTAGGGGCACGTTGTCATGCTTTAATGGATCTTCCAAACGGTTATGTTCAATATCCGCGTGATTTCAAGGTTGGCTCCGTAGCGTTCTATGGTTGCTACAACGGCTACGTCATAATCGGCGCAAACAGCAGAGTGTGTCAAGGAAATCTGAAGTGGTCGGGTAGCGAACCCTTGTGCCACAAGAATGGTAAGAGTAGTTTAAAGTAGTTTGAAACGCAAATCAGTAGCCTCGGATTCACATTCCTCGCCGCTCATACACACCGAGAGAAATTTCGGCGACAAATTCGGTTCAGAGCGAATTTTTACACAGCTTTTTTAACAACCTCAGCGTCGAAAATAAATGCGCCTCGTTAGTTCACTTCTCACATGGGAGAATGACTGAGTGCAGTGATGAATTTCATTACTGAAGGGTACTTATGCGAGACCCTCTGCGCATCTGGCGCCTCAAGACGTCCGCTATTGCTCGCCGAAAACGGGAGCGATTGTGAGACAATTATGAACATAAATCAACTCTGAATGGATACAGCAAAACAGGTTTCTGCCATGAAATCTTTTCACTCTAAATGAATAATAGCGTCCTTTCTCGTAAAGGCATATTAAGGTTGGTTCTAGGCGGACTCATATCTGAAGAGAATCGAAATGGCATACGAGCTGCCATTAATATCAAAGGTTCTTAGAAATACGATTATAAAATAGAGTGATTTCAGCCTTTCAATCTGCACTTCGTCAATGGTTCGAGGAGTCCAGCGAACATCATTATAGTTTATCGCCCGAGCAGATGACTTCTTGTCTCGCCCGCTCATTTGACCACTTATGGGTGCCTTGATTAGTCTAGACTGACCAATTACTGTTATCTCATTTACTTTATTCACAATATATGTCTGAGTAAATGAGAATTCAGCTTTACAAGCTTTGCAAATCTTTAACGGTCTGCAGGTACGGTTGAAACGATCGCGATTGACGATCACTGCCACAGTATTTGTCAATGTGGTTGTTTCGACGGGCGGATTGACACGTCTCATGACACGACAATTCTAAATGCTCTCATTTATGAGCCGAGCCGCTTTTCTCCAAATTGAGCGATCACAATTACGATGGTCTAGGCGTAGGATGCAGATGCCCAACGCGGATCTAGCTGCAATTAGCACGTGGAATCCAACCCATGGACAATACATGATTGGGCAAGGACCTAGACCGTTGGAAAAATTACTTAATACCGCTGCTCTATGACTTGAAACAGAATAGTAAATGGATAAATGGATAAACGGGGATATCAGTCCACTTTTGAATGAAGTTGTGAACATGCTCAGATCGTTGAAGGTGCTTGAAGACGGCAGACTTTTCAAGTTTTTCTTCTATAGCTAACTTTGTGGTAGAACGGCGGTGACCAATTCCTGGGCTTTAAAAAATTTCTTGGAAAAAGTACAATCAGCGCTAGTTTTCATTGGCAATACTTCCATAACGGGCGGTGGCTTTCGGAACAGTGCTGCTCATGATCCTCCATGAGGTTTTGACCATTTCAGCTTAACAATTGAGAAACAAAATCTGTCTTTTCCTTAAACGCTGTATACTCAATCGCGGGCTACCTCTTCTCATTCAAGGCCGGATTTTCGGCCTGTACCTTTAGCTCTGTTTTAGTTACGCTTATTGTTATGATCGACAGTGACTCTCTACCGTTCAGCGAAAATTCCACACACACACACACACACACACACACATGATCAACGAAAGCAGGGAAACAAAAGCACAACTATGTAACTAACGATTCGTGCGAAATCTTTATGGCCTGCAGTGAAGATCAATGATTTGCAAACTGACGAGACGTTGGGACATTGATGAAAGTCGTACGTCAATCCTTGTTTTCTGACGACGTGCGAACCGCAAAATCGTGCGATTCAAGTCTTCTTCTTTCCCTATGACTCTCTAGACTAAATGACAACGATCAGAGATGGAGACGACAGCACAAAAGACAGGAAATGGAAAACGAGACGACTCGGCGTTATAAATCGACTAGTTCACAGGTTCTCAATGAGTATTACAGTCGAAATAGTATTGGAACCAAGCGTATGAATCGACGATGTTTCCCATTTGCAGACGACCAACCACCACAGCTAAGAAAAACATGGAATACGAAGGAGT